ATCAGTAAGCAAAGCTCAAAATGTAATTTACCCGCCGAGAAAAAATCTCCTGGAGCAGAGAACTCTTCGATGTCATCATCCCGATCAATGGCGACGCCTCTATCAATCTTGCTCGATTGAGAACAGAGGGGATCTCGAAACTCCTCGTTCAAGCTCCTGATCGGAATCCCGATGATGCAGAATCTTGTGAGGATGATTGGTCGTTTAGGGATTTGGGGGGGAGAGAGGGGATTAGGATTTGGGGAAACATCGGAAATTGGCGCCTTGTTAATTTGTTACTTCTTACTACAGTAATATTATTACTTAACTCTACTATCTTATTTATTAATTTTATTCTATAGTTTCCACCAATCATAGAGCAATAACACATTAATTGCTTTTTTCTTTCTTTTCTTACTAATAATACTATAGACAAATAAAGTCTTTTCCTCAATTGATATGATGATACATATGATTGTCACATCCCTAGAGGTATCAATCCAATGTTTTCTATATGATATTTTTGGCCTCTTAACAGTATTCATATTCCTTGTTCCTTCCAATTTTGTACCCCACAAAACTATAGTATCACAACAAGTTTCTGAAAGAGAAAAGCAAATCACAAGTAGGAGGATATACATATATGTCTTTTTTGTCTTTTATTTTAAAAAAGTTGTGCCAAATCAAGCCAAGTAGTACAAATGCATGTATATCCCCTATTTTTTTTATATTGATTATATAAGGATCTTAATTTAACATTGAATTGAATTTCCTTTATGTGCTGTATAATCTCCATATTGGACAATCATAATTAAAAACAAAAATTATGATATATATTTATATATATATACACTATATTGTGTAGCTGAATCGTTGCATTTAATTATATGGATTGACACAAACACATGTATGAACGTTTAACTGTTTAAGGTAGTATTAAGGCATGAACAGTATTCATTATCATCTTGCATCAACAATTCAATTTTTTTTATGTGTTAATACTTAATACTCTACATTATCATCGCGCGTCCATTCTTGTAGTATATGCATGATTCCTCAAATTTGACTGATTTATGTGAAGGTATGATCTGATATGTAATATGTTTCACCTTAATTCAAAGATTCTTTCTTTTTTCTGGATGGTTTTAACTTAAATATATTTATGTCTCTAATTGTTTCTCTTTGAAATTGGGGACTCGAGCTTGAACGTTTTTAATTATAAATAAAAAAAATACTATTGGAACAGAGTCACGTGCCTGTGTCTACTCTGTAAGAAATGGTGAAACTAAAGCCTGAGCGGAGAGAAATACAATCCCAAGGAAGGATGCAATGATGAGATTCCCTTCCCTATTCGCGTATTCATAATTATCCTCTTTTTCTTTTAATTACTACAACATTTATTAATTAATACAGTACATTATTTACAAACTACAACCGATTAATAAGTAGATATTTCCATTGTAATTATTTGGAAATCAGTCATAAACAAATATTTATTTGTTACATTAAAACAATTATTAACGACACACAGCAGCTGGATGTATGAAAATGGGAGATAATAATGTCAAATGGTAATTTGCCACTTGTGGACACTGTCTTGGTCTTTCCGGTAAAGGGCAACACACAAAGTCACTTTTCATTCTTTATACAATAAGAACAAATCAACTATATCCACACATGCACCATGCATGCGAGGTTTACGTCCAAATTCGAATTTTTAATTAGAATTTGGGTCTTAGTGTCGTTAATAATTTGATAAACCAAAAGTCTTAAGCTGATTTAAAACAATTAAAACAAAATGTAGCAATACACGAAATAACGTAAAAGAAAAAGAAGGAAAAAAACTTTACATTTAAAAGTAAAAAAAAATGTATAATATGAAGAATTTTAAAAGCTGTTTTGGCTTCATATGCATCCACTGTTTGAAAGTACTAGCAAATATTCAATGAGAGCCATGTGTGGTGTGCGCTTTTTTTTTGATAAACTTATATAAGGATTAATTTACCATTGTATATATTAAACTTCCTTTTATGTGATATAATCTCCATATTGGACAATTATTTAAAAACGAAAAGAAAACTAATTAATGCGTATCATTAACATTACGAAATTAATGGTGCGTTTGGAAATCCTTTTAACTAGTATCGATCATTACAAAAACTTTATACTACTACATTACTTGCATTAAAATAAACACCAAATTTCAATCATTGATTGCATTTATGAGATTGACACAAACAAATTACTACTCCTTATGTGTTAGTCTTTAAGGTATGAAGAGTATTTATTACTATGATCTTGTATCAACGATTCAAATATTTGTATGTGTTACTCTACTACTACTCTCATTTTGTAGTCTTGTTATAGGTGCAGCATTATCATAACAATTAAAGCCTATAAAAAAAAAGAAACAAAAAAAATAAAGAGAGAGAGAAAACGCTCGATTTTGTTTTGTTGCTTAAAGAAAAGAAAGCATTGAGAAAACATTCCCAAAACGGAACAACATTTGTAAGTGGTCCACATGTAAACATACACATTTCAGACCCTCTCTCAGTGTAACAAGAGCGGCGGAGTTCCGTATATTTTTTTCTCTCATTTTCTTACATATACACGTTGATGATAGATGACTGTTTTACCCTTCTGTTTTCTTTGAGCACTAAAGCTAAAATTAATATTTATCAGATCATCGTTTTTTTTTTTGCCTGAAGCTATTAACTTTTAAAACAAACACTTTTTCCATAAATTTTCCCCTCTTCTATAAATAGTCTAGACATATCGTTTTCTTTTATTCTTCATTTTGTTTCACTTTTTTTGTCTTCTCTCCCTCTCAAGAAAATGAGTGTGATAAGGAAGATTTTTAAGGCTTGCTCCCATTCACAAGTAAGTTTCTTTTTGTTTGGAATCACAACTTGTTGTTGTTAAGTGTTCTTTTTAGTGAAATGATTTTAAGACTTTTTTAGTAAAAATGTTTATGATAAGTTTTGGTGGCAAAAGAAGGTTTTTTCTTTTTCTTGTTTTGTTGGTTGAATGTTTATGGTAAGTTTTAGTGACAAAAAAAGGTTTTTTTTTTTCTTGGTTTGTTGGTTGAATGTTTATGGTAAGTTTCAGTGACAAAAAAAGTTTTTTTTTTTTTTGGTTTGTTGGTTGAATGTATAAGAGTATATATGTAAATACAAATAGTTTTAGGATTCATATGTAATTATTTCTACCCTAATCACTCTGGCGTATGTGTATATATATGTGTTAAAACACATTCTATCAATATAAGAAATATTCAGCCTCTACAAAATGTTTCTGGTAAATTTCAGTGACAAAAAAGTTTTTTTTTTCATGTTTGGTTGGTTGTGTGTTAAGTTCTTTTAGTCATAATGTATCCCATGGAAATGGATCTTGGTGAGATTATATCGAGTAGTAAAACGACGGCTGACCCCAAAAAAATGTTTAGGGAACATTCTAGAACTCTCGAAAGTGAGAGTAATTAATTTCAACTAATCGGAACTATAGATTTTTCGAATAGCTTACAACTTATTTGGGTTTGGACAAATTGGTTTTAGGGCCCAAAGGCTTTGATCCGTTTGTTTGGTGTGTCTAATGTTGTATTAATTGTTTTGGTTTTTAGGTTATGCCAATCGGAATCAGAATGATGTCTACGGTGAGTAACATGTACTCTGTTTTTATTTTATTTTATTTACAACAAACAATTATCTGCACAATCTTTTTGGATATTAGTAAAGAAGTAAATTGTAGTATATAATTTTACATCGTTTCCAATTATGTTTAAAATATAATTCAAAGCGGTTTTGTAGTAAAGTAAATATCTATATATACATTTTAAGAAAAAAAAACAATTATTCTGGAATTTATTTATTTTGGTAAAAATCTGGTATTTGTTTATTAAACTTAAAATAAATTATCCACATGGTTTCGTTTTCGATTGTTTGGAAGAGAAATCTCAATTCTCAAGTAATCTTCTGTTGCCGTCTAAAATCTTGTTAGTTGTTAATCCCCGAGAAATCTCCAAGTAATCTTCTCTTGTAAATCTCAAATGACGTTTGCGTTTTTCTCCACAGAGAGTGGAACTCCCGAGAGATGCTCTCACTGAGCAGCAACTCTGTCAAATCAAGGATGGAATCAAGGATGCTACCATCTTCAGGAGGCTGAAAGATCTCTCATTCAAGTACACAATCCCCGTTTCTGAGATGAACTATATGAGGGATGTTATGATGTTCGATCACAGCCTTCTCGAGGAGAAGGGCACAGTGAAGAAGCTGATTCACGGAATTGTGATTGAGACGGTTCGTGTGGGCTCTAATGATGAAGATCTCTTTAAAAGAGATTTCAGAGAATACATGGCTGGAGAGAGCAAGAGGAGGGAAGTGGCATTGAGCCTCTTTAGGAGCATGGTAATGGTAAGTCAAAAGGTGAGAGCATTATCGAGAAGTGCGGTTTACAAGCTGATTAATAAATCAGCAAAGAAACTGAGGGTTAAGGATTGTTGGTCTTCATGGAAATGGAGGGACCAGGATTGTGGCTTTAGATTAGCTACGTGTTTGGTTGAATCGGATGACTCTTTTGATGTTGAATCTGTCCTACAAGAGTACACCACGCCAATATTGATGCTAGTTGACATCAATAAAGCTCCGATGGTACGAGCAACGGTGTTGAAGTTGTTACTAGTCGCCGTCCGTAGTGGCAAAGCGTCAGTCTCATTGGGATTGCTGAGTCTAGTAGGGAGCAACATTGGAGCAAGGTCCAATGTTGTCCACTCTCTTGCTGCAGATTGCATCATAGAGATCATGTTCGTTATGAACTTAAAAGCTGGAGAAGTCGATGTGTTGCCGCTTATGGTGAACCTTTTCAAAGCCCTGAAGCTTCCAGGATCTGAAGAGAATGAGTACCTTATGAAATGCATATTCCAGGCCGTTTCTGTTTCTGAAATCAGTCCTAAAGGTTGTGATCTCTGCTTTAGAGAGCTAATCCACATCCTTGTTTGCCAGAGGTGCCAAAATCCAGAGTTTCAAAAGAATCTTGTCCAATCTCTGGCCCTCCTGATTGAGCGGGAATCTCACGACTTTACAGAGAACAGATTGGTGGATATACTGGGAAGATGTGAAGAGATGGTTTCATCTCCCATAGATGATGAGCATGGCTTCTTTCTCCTCAAGTCTGTTGTGGACAATCTTGTGTACGAGGTGATTGCGAGTCACATGAAGCATGTATGGGTTGTTCTCTTCGCTCGGCTTGTAAACAACGAGACAGCCCAGTTCCAGCAATCGTTAGTGAGATTCATGTCGTTTTTCTTGGTTAGGCATGGAATAGCGAGTCTAGTTGACTCTGTGAACTCAGTTCACCCGGATATCTTCAACGCCTTTGTGAGAGACTGCTGGGTTCCTCACATGAAGCTGATCAACGAGGTCAATGAAGATGAGAAGAAAACCGAGTAAATCTCTTTTGTTTATTGGGGTTCCAGCATTTTGCCATTAAAGTAGAGAAAACTTGAATCTCTTTTGTTTAACGGGGTTGCAGTATTTTGTCATTAGAGTAGAGAAAACTTGAGTTTATGCAATCCGAAACAGATCCTTAATCTCTTTTTGTCAATCTGTTTTGTTTTTTGCATTTACTTTGTTCTCCTTAATGTTATCTTCACAGTTTGAAGTACTTAGTAGCTTAAGGTTGTCTTTCAAGTTTGGCTTAGCTTTTGTAGCCTTTCTGTGGCTGTTATGTAATGACTTTATGATTTAAAACCAAATTACATGTTGGTACTCGCTGGTACATTCAGGAAAATTACAGATTTCCAACTCTTTACTAATGTGTACTAGAGAGTAACAATAGCTTCGATTAACTTTCTCTACACAAACTTACTCCTCATCTCTTGCGTCTTCATGGCCTTACCAAACTTTTACTGGTACCGAATGAAACTTGCAGCATGCTGTTGTTGATAAGTTTATATGGAGTTTGACATCAGTAAAGGTGACATCCGTGCCTTCTTTCAAGATATCTTCACTTCTTAAACCATCCTCCCTGCAACCTAACAACTCACTGGACACACCTCTATCAGACTTGGCAGAACGCTTTGTTTCTGAGATGTGCTACTCTCCTTATTGGGCTAAAACAAGTCCTGAAAATAACATCCAGTGCAGGCATTTGAATCAATCCACACATTCTTTTCTCTTTGTTTTACGTTCAACAGATAATTGACCCTTTGAGGAGGAAACATAAGTTCTAGTGACTAGGCTCAAACCTCTGCTAGTGGATGGATGATCTTCTTCAGAATCTGAATCTAGTAGCTGGAACTTTCCAAGAGGACTACTACAAGTTGACCTTTGAAATAATGATGTAACAGAACTTGAAGGGGTACACGGAAAATGACTTCTTGTTTGAGCAGGTGCATCTGCGATTAAGGGTCAGGTGGTAGTACATGAAGATGCAACCAAAAAAGATGCCACAGAAAGTAAACTCTAATCAACTCAATAAATGTCTGAGTAGAGAGACCCAAATTATCACGCTGAAAGCTCCAAAACACATCTACCTACCAAATGCAACCAAGTTCTAATACGAGTAGCTCCGAAAACAGAATGTTTTAATCATCTTAAGCTGCATCGATTCCTTAATTCATCAGTTTCTAGTTCATCTACACTAAGCTCAATGTATGGGAGTCCAAGATTCCAGCTTTTTCCCAACAGCAACTTATAATCATAGACTTAACATTTCTCATTTCAAAAGACCAAGCAAAGCTCAATATGTATGTAATTACCCGTGGGAAAATATTATGGAGAAGAGCACTCATCGATGCCATCATCGCGATCCTCCTTGCAACCTTAACAACTCACTGGCCACGCCTCTATCAGGTTTTGCAGAAGAATTTTCGATTGAGAACCGAACTCGAAACTCCTGGTTCTAGCTTCTGATCGGACTCTGAGACACTCAGTCGCGTCTCGTCGTAGCCGTCACCGATTAACTGATCGCCGGAGGAATCCAATTGGGGCTCCTATGCAGTTTCCTAGGAATTCAATTGGACCTCCGATGCAGCATCACAAAACCTAGCGAAACGATTGAATCCATAAGAAAACGAATTAGGGATTTGAGGAGCGAGCGAGAGATAGAGGGAGATTCTTCAGAAAGAATTTGAATTGGCGCGTTCTCCAATGAGATCGTTTGGTCGTCGTCGTTTTGACGCATATGGATGTTGGGACAAGCTAACGACGTCGTCTAAGCGAATAATAAAATTTGTAAAAGCGAGGCCCATAAAGAGACCCAACTCTTTCGACGTATGTGAATATTAGATATATGATGATGAAACAATCCTAATTAATTAATAAAATTTGTAATATGAGGCCCACAAAGACCCAAATCTGAACACAAAACTTAGGCCTGGGCAAATAAACCGAACTGAAACCGAAGAAAAAAAACCCGAACCGAACCGAACCGAAATTTTGAAAATAACCGAATGGATACTAAATTCTATAACCGAAATAACCGTAACCGAATAGGTACCGAACCGAAATACCCGAAATACAATTATATTTTCAAAATAATTAGTTATTTATAGACTAAATAATCAAAAATACTTGAAAAATATATAAAAATAGTAAAAATATTCGAAAATAACCAAAATATATCCAAAAATATCAGAAAAATCCAAAAATAACCGAAATATCCGAAAATATCCTAAGCAAAATAACCGAATGGATACTAAATTCTAAAACCGAAAGAACCGGAACCGAACCAAAATTTCAAAATATCCGAATGGATACTAAATTTTGAAACTGAAAAAACCGAAACCGAATGGACCCAACCGATAACCGAACGGTTAACCGAAAGCCCAAGCCTAACAAAACTCCTATTATTCTTAGAAATTGTTATAATTAATAGAAACCGCAGACAACTTATTTTTAATAAAATATCGTAGTAGAAAAAGTAGTTTCATTGCATTTATGTATTATATTAATTGTGAATTTGTGACAATGTACTCTTAGAATCGTGAAATAAAAAAATTGCTTACTTTCATGAGATCGTCAGCTCGTTTTGACATATCCGATCGGATGTCTATAATCTGGGGTAAAAAGATTCTATCAAATTTTTTACATTATATCCATTATAATTTACTTTGTTCGGACCTGGTAAAGATGATGTCTTTCCCAACCGAATGACCGGTATTTTCAGTGTATTTGGAGGAATTTTATAGCGACAAGGAAGAATTCTCAACCTTTTCTTTATCTTTAATTTCTCGTAGTGCAAATGTAAAAGCGGATAATCTAGTTCGAAAAGTTCTGCAGAACCGCATCATATCACTTTTGTAAACAACATTCCTCAGGAATGGTTCTTTTAATTTTTTAATTAATATCGGATGAAAAAAAAAATTACTTTGTTCAGTTACTTTTTTTTTTTGTTTATATGTAATTATTTATACATTTTCCGCATATCGTAATTAAATTACTCTACTAGTTGGATTACCCTCTTCACACCACAACTGCATCTGCATGTATGAAAATGGGAGATAATGTCAAATGATAATTTGCCACTTGTGGCGACCTGTCTTGGTCTAATAAATGAATATTAAATTTTTTATAGACATTTTCAACATTTGTTAATGTTCAGTGAATAGACACACATATTGTTTCAAACGTTTATAGAAATTATATATATATATATTTTTAACGTCTGGATTTATTATTTATTGCAAATTACGAGAACTGTTACATAGACGATTTTACAACGGACAATTCTTTCCGACCTTTATTAGATCCACGACAGACGACACTTTCTTCACCTTCTTCTTCATACTCACCTCCTTCACCTCCTTCTTTATGTTCTTGATGGACACTTCCCTCTCTGCGTAGAATCCTGGCGAACGGCTATAATTGTACATCGTTGGAGATCTCCTGCACACTTGCCTCCAATAATCTGCAAATTTATTAATAAATCGCAGTATCTGGGACTCGAACCCCATACCTCTGGGTGTAGAAACATTAATTAACCCTTGTTCAACCAATGGACCAAGGGGGCTTCCACTAGAAATTATAATTTATAAGAGGATTTTTTGAGTCAATTTTTTAGGTTGGTAGAATCATTTGTATGTGGAAAATACATAAAGAATATTTATAATAAAACTTTAACCAAAAAAAAAAAGAATAGTTATAATAAAATAAATACGAACGTCCATACTTAATTTAGGAAAGTAACAAAAACTGTATTTTAAACAAATTTCCATTTTATTTTTGAAAATCAATAGTTCCAAATAATTACAGTCGTAAAAAAGTGTATGTT